AAAAAAAAAAAAAGTTGGAAAATGAAAACCCACCTTAAAGGTGGGAAAACAATTTTAACAAAAAAGTGGAAAATATGCACGTGTGAGAAAGTGAGAAATTTTTTTCTTATCAAACCCTACAAAAGTTGGAAAATGAAAAATTTGGAAAATGTTGTCCATAACAGGGCCTTATATTCAATGAACAATCAACCAAAATCATTTTTATCCAATTCTTTGTGAGCATGACGATCCATTTGACTAACAAAGAACCCGATCGAAACTCATTGATTCACAACTTGAAACATCCATAAATTAGATGAAAATATTTACGAAACATTCATAAATTAGAAATACAAAGAAGAATCAAACATAACAAGACCATACCCATGTGATATGGACCAACGTAGTACTTCAAAATTATTAATACATGACAGCATCTTTGACAGGTTGGGTCGAATATGACGTATATAATGGTCTATATATTTTATCGTACATTTTATTAATCACGTTTCACACAAAATAGTTAACGAACCTTACGAAATTATCGTGTTCTATTATTTCATTTCCATTTTCTCAATATTAGATATTTTTTTAAGTTATCACAACTAATTTAGGTAGGAGTCGATATAAAAATTCAAAGATTGCGTAATCAAGTTTGGTTAATTTTGACCCCATAATAATGACACTAGTGTTCAATTCTCCTCAACTTTCGCGTGCCTTTATACTAAAAAATCTGACGGCTCAACTCAACTGATAATTGACAGCATTAACATAATAAAATCCACCTAATCATGAGATATAATTTCACTACTGGACCCTAAATTATTATCTAAATGGTAAGTTGGTTTCTAAACTTTTGAAAAGGAACAAAGTGGTCACTGATCCTTTTTCTTTTTCATTCTCTTATATGTAGTGTTCTAAAAATGGGCTCCTAGGCGAGAAGAAGAGCAAAACGTCTTGCTTCCCGCTTTTTTATTATGTTTTTTCAATCCTAGTCGCACTTTTTTTACCGCTTTTATGCTCTTTTTCTAATTATTAAATGGTTTTTAGATTGATTTAAAAATTTAAAATAATATTAAATAAGATAATTTTTTTACGCTAAACTTGCCTAGTTCGAATTCGAAACTGGACTTCTACGCCTCACTATACTTTTAAGTTTTTTAAAACACTGCTTATACTTAGATGGGGGACTTGATAGCAGGTAGGTAGGTGCATGGTGGAGTGGACGAGTGGTGGTGGTGGTGGATCCAATGATAGCCATGAATTTGACTATTGTCTTGAAATTTGACGTGGTGCATTTTTTTCATGGTCACATGCAAGTAGAGGTTGGGATTATTTTACTATTTTTAAAGGTTAAAGAGCAATTTGCTACTAAGATAATCATTTGGGGAAAAGGATGCAATTTTCCCTAATCATGTTTATTTTAAACTTTTTCCCTTATTAAACCATAATTACAGGAATTAAATTATATTATATTACCAGGCTACCACGATTAGTCCTGGATGAAATCCCTAAACTACCCCGCTTGATACCTTTGTTTCAACGCCATATATTTCTCGAGTTAATTTAATTAATGGTCACTAAACTTTGTTATGGTTACTACTTGCTCATCGATCTTTAAAAAGTTACACATTGCTCACTGGACTTTACTATTTGTTACTGCTTGCTCATTGAAATTTAAAAATTTACTCGTTGCTCATTAAATTTTATTATATGTAGCAATTATGGAAATGATAGGGTGATTAATATGTAACTTTATTCAAATTTAGATGAGTAATGAGTAACTTTTTAAATTTCGATGAACAAGTAATAACATATAGTAAAATTTAATGAGCACAGAGTAACCTTTTGAATTTCGATGAGCAGTTGCTAACCTATAACAAAGTTTGGTGACTATTGATTGAATTAACTCTATATTTCTCCGACAAGCTTCCATGATTCCTTCCATGTCCGAATTGGGATTTAATCATGTATGGAAATAAGCTGAATCAATTATAGAAACAATGCTGAAACGGTAAGCTGGAAAGAAATTGGAAATAGAGATTGAAGCTGACAGTCAACAATTGAATCGTGAAATTGAAGAAATCATTTCAATTATAAGTGAATTCCACCCAATGCCATCTACCAAAACCTGATATCTTTGAAGCTACTCCATTACTGAGTCGAAGGGTTGCCGGAAGGAGGAAAAAATGAAGCTTCTGTCGGCGTTGCAGCAGCAGGGCCGCAGGGGCAACAGCTTTCGAAGTGCATCGTCGCAGCAGGACTCCGGCGTGGACGGTGGAGCAAAGTCTCAGGCAACGATTTTTTGGCTACTGTTACACGGACTTTGCTGTCTTGTTAGTCTAGTCCTTGGTTTCAGATTCTCTCGTTTGGTATTTCTCCTCGTTCTTTCTACTTCCTCCCCCTCCACCACCTCCACCGCCAACCTCTATTCTGCTTTCCACACTTCATTTCCATCTACCACCACCACAACGTCGTCGTCGAAGGCGGCTGCGGTGAACGGTATTACGGCGGAGGGGAGTAGAGTTGTGGTAGGTAGGCACGGGATACTGATACGGCCTTGGCCGCATTCAGATCCGGTGGAGGTGTTGAAGGCTCACCGGATAATCGAGAGGGTTCAGAGAGAACAAAGGCTGCAGTATGGAGTGAAGAGCCCTAGGACTGTGATTGCAATCACGCCGACGTACGTTCGGACCTTCCAGACGCTTCATCTAACTGGGGTCATGCATTCTCTGATGAACGTGCCCTATGATCTCATCTGGATTGTTGTGGAAGCTGGTGGCGCCACCAATGAAACAAACATGCTAATTTCAAAATCAGGCCTCAAAACATTCCATATTGGATTTAATGCTAAAATGCCGATTTTATGGGAGGATCGGCATAAATTAGAAGTGAAAATGAGACTACAGGCCTTAAGGTATGTTGTATTGATCATGCTTTATTGATTTTTAACTTTTACTTCTCATTAATATACTGTAAACGTTTGTTTTAATTTAGTTCAATACTACTACATTGTTAGTAGATTTGTGATTTTAACAATGTAAAGTGTTTGTGATGGGGGCAGAGTTGTGAAAGAGAAGAGGTTAGATGGGATAGTAATGTTTGTGGATGACAGTAATATGCATAGTATGGAGTTATTTGATGAGATCCAGAATGTGAAGTGGGTAGGCGCAGTTTCTGTCGGGATTCTTACACATTCAGGAGGGTCCAAAGAAGAAAATTTGTATGTGGCTCAGACAGAGAACAATACGAAGAATGAGAAGAATCCAAAGATGCCAGTCCAGGGTCCGTCTTGTAATTCATCAAACCATGTGGTGGGGTGGCGTACTTTCGATGAACTGCCACTTGTGGAGAGGAGGGCAAGGTATGTTGGTGACAGGGGAATTGTGCTGCCAAGGAAGCTGGAGTGGTCTGGATTTATCTTGAATTCTAGGTTGTTTTGGAAGGAAGCCGAAGATAAGCCTCAATGGGTCAAGGATTTGGATGAGGTTGGTAGGGATGGAGATGATGTTGAGAGTCCTTTATCTTTGCTGAAGGATGCTTCTTTTGTGGAGCCTCTCGGGAGTTGTGGGTTCAAAGTCATGCTGTGGTGGCTGCGTGTTGAGGCTCGAGCAGACAGCAAATTCCCCGCCAGGTTCTTTTCCATAAATTAATTTCAAAAACTGTCTGTATCCTGGTCTTATAGTGCTGATGATTGAATTCCCCATCTGTCTATCTAGCGTTGAATTCAACCTTCATTATGCATTGCGTGTGGATTGCAGATGATTTTCTCTATATATGAGGCTAGTCTCTCTAAAGGAGGCAATTAGTTTCAGGTCAGGCTGACTTGGTTTTAATGTTTCAACTCCTTATCGATCTTCAATTCTCTTATCTAGACAGGATAAGAGCAAACAAGAACCCTTCACATTCATAGGCTCTTCGATGGCATTCTTGTGAGTTGTGAATAGAATAGGCTAAGTATCTACTGTCGTGTGAGTCTCGACTAATGTGTAGCTGCCGACACCTTTCAAAAAAAAATGTGTAGCTGCCGTTAAAAGGCTATAAGTAACGGCGTTCTCTATGGGATTGCCTGATATTGAGCATCTCTTTCATTGGATCTCGAAGTGAAGGATTGTCTTCATGTGAGGATGATCTTTCGCAACATTTTTATTTGTGCATTTGACCTCTGAAAGCAGTGGGACCATTTCAGCAACTTCTTTTATTGTTAGATCTTGTTGCATCTGTGTACTGTACAAAATTTTCAACATCTGTGGCTTTATATCTAGAAAACCAGATTACTTAATTAAATTTCCCAAAAGCTTAAGTAGACATACAACGTGGGTATTTTCATTAAGCACGTAGCAATACCTAATCAGCTATCAGCACTCTACTCATTCGCAGCTACAGCAATATTTAGAAAGCAACACAATTAAGTCACAGGCAGTTGGTCTTAGGCATTCATCTCCTCGGAATATGCTGTAAGTTTTTTATCATGAAGTTCCTAATATTTTTTCAACTTTTCCAAGTTTTCTACTCTAAGATCTACAAATTTAAGTAATCAGTATGTAATAGAATGTTATGCGGGGCAGGATCAGTTTTTTATCCTGAAGTTCCTAATATTTTTGCAACTTTTCCCAAGTTTTCTTCTCATCGTTCTTCTCCACAGGTTCTAGTTCATTTACCCTAGCCTGATCTTCAAAGCTTGAAGCTACCTCAAATAAGAAGAGTGCCATCATCATCACTTTATTTAAAAAACATGTACGAGAAAATAAAAAAAATATTATGGGATATACCGAGTGAAAATGATCTTAGTGCCATATTTCTAGACTTTTTGGTAGACAATGGAAGATAACTGCAAGGAAACATGCAGTGAGGTACGGATGAATGTTGAACAAGGGTCCAAAACAGTTTTCTTGGCTGAAATACACAAGGATAGGGAAACTGATTGAAAAAAGCCAAGGTGGTGACTGATATTGGCATGGTGAACGCCATACACAAATATGCTTCCCTTTTCTTTTCTTTTTTTCATTTTTTTTCCCCTCTTTGGTGGGTGGGTTGAAAGAGGCTGAGCACATATTGCTGCACATGCTTTCTTTAACTTCGTGGACTCGCCAAACAAGTTGGATTCACATTTTAAAATTTTATTTTTCATTTCCATATACAAGAGAAAACTTAATTTTCTGCTATGCATACTGCTGTCTGTGGTCCTTCAAATTAATAATTTCTTAATCTTAAAATATTAGGGGTTGTTCTCTGTGTGTTTTGAGTTTTGAATTCATTTTGAGTTTTGTGTTTTGAATGTCTATTTTTAGATTATTGAAAATGTGTTCTTTTTGACATTTTGAAAAATTGTTTTGAAAACGTCCAAAACGTGTTTTGAAAATTTTTGACTTGATTATAACTGAAAGCACTCAAAACGACATTGTCATTTTGAGTTTTCTTTGTAAATTTTTAACTTGTTTTAAAAAACGCGTTTTCGAAAATGAGTGGATTGCTTTTTCACTATTTTGGAAAATCAAAAACAGAAAACGGCTTGAAAATGGTAAAGAGAACAGACTCTTGGCATTTATATAATTTGAAATTGGAATTTTACAATAATTATTTTATTTTTTACTTTTTAGTTTTGGAAGGACTCCCTATGAGATTATCTTCATATATATTACCGGTTCCTTATTCTCATAGATACTCGTGAGATTTAATTTAACCATCTCCAAGGACAAGTTTGAGCACACATTATGGTTTGTCAGTTGGCCATCCTATTGAGAGTCGCAATCTTAAATCACTACCAGTTAGTCTTCTATTGTAGCTCCATGGGTTCTTCAACAAATTGAGGCTTCCCATGTTAGAATATTGAATTCAGAGTCAATCTTCAACGCAGTTTATTTACAGAGAGAATGAAACCATGAGAATTAACCTCTGAATCTTAATGTGTGTGTAGTCATTGAATCCTATACTTAGTTAATCTAATAAATGCACTAACAGATCATCAAACTATTTAGCAGAGATGAAAATCATATGCCTTTACTGATAATTCAAAGTTTTTCTTGGTGAATAATCAGTGATATATATAATGTAGGTGTAGATTTTATTCTATAATGCAACCAGTCATTTCTATACCCGAAGTTTGGAGGAAAAACTTGAATTACATGTCAACAATATTTTTGTTTCATGCAGATGGGTAATTGATCCTCCATTAGATGTTACCGCCCCAGCAAAGCGCACTCCATGGCCAGATGCTCCTTCCGAACTTCCATCTGCCATTGAAAAAGCAATCAACATCCAGGATAACACCGAGAAACATACCACCAAAAGCCGGACATATAGAAGACATGGGTCCCGTAGCAAGAGGAAGCGCTCATCAGAAGTATCAATTGAACAAGTTTCTACAAGGTATTCATCAAATAAATAGAACTTTATAGTACTAGTAATCTACAGATATATACGGTTGTGTGAATTCATGGTTACAAGCAAGCCTTCAAATTCAGAACTCCAAAGACAAGACGACTACTCTTGTTGAGTAAATATGCAAAGGCGCGATACATATATGATAGCCTGTTGATACATTATGTACGTGATAACATTCCATCTAATCTTTTATTTCTTATTGAGTGAATTTTTTCCCCCGTTCAATTTCTTGTTTTTTGGTGTTCTGATAGAATTTGCATACTTGTTCAGTTACATTTGCTGCTTGGCAGAAATGTGTATTCAGTTATCTCCCAAGTTTTATGTAATTTTTGATATACAGGGATCATTATATTTCATTTATTGGATCTCATAGCAAGGCACACGCTCTAATAAATCATTCTATTCGAACAAATTACTCCGTAGTTAGAGATTTATTTGTTCACTTGATTGCAAATTTGTCACAGTTCACCAATAATCGCATGTGAATGCATACAAACTATCTAAACATGAGATGGGAAGTTCTTTCTTACGTGAGAATGAATCCAGAAAACAAACCAAACAAATTACACAGATTTATACTTAATAGAGGTTCGTCCACAATGTGAGAGTTAGTTCTATGCGTCACTACAGGTTTTTCATTATAGTGGATGAGAAGAATTGGCCCCAGCAGTCTTCGATTACATTAATCGAACAGGATCAAAAGCAATCGGGAGTCTTCACCAAGCGAAAGACCTCCAAATCCGAGCATTTGGATATGGCCATTAGCCCAACATCACTTACTTGCAGCCTTTCCAAATGAATCTCCATCGAACAATTCTTCCTCCCTGAAATGGTCTCCAATAACCTATCCCAATCCCCAAAACAACTAAGTATCTTCAAAGTTTTCAAATTCTTGGATCCAATGATCAATGGGCCAAAAGACTACCCATTATAAAGCTCCTCAAGTACGATTGATTTAAGCGAAGAAGCCAACGTTCCCAGGCCAATCGGCTCGGTAGCAAAACTATCCTTGATTCCCGTCAGGCGCCTAACAGAGAGTTCTTCCAGGGATTTACAATTGTTTGCCAAATTATGCATTCCTGTTCCGATATTTCACTGCAACCACAGATCTTAAATCGGTTCAGGTTTAGGCACCGGAGGGAGAATAAGGTCAATGCCTCGTCGTTTATGTTGACATACTTACGATCACAATGGATGGTGAGCTTTGTGACGGATTCAAACCGGGTTATTGAAGGATTGAAGCAAGAAAGAATTCAATTGCATTGCCTCGGAGAGAAAATTACACCGTGCATTACAAGAATTGTGTATAAATAGAGAAATGAAATCAACTAACTCACTCACTCTAACTAACTCAACTATACAAACCAATAAAAGGTGAACACGTGTAATGAATTAGCTAATCCAACTGTCTAACTGATAGCTGGCTCCGATGACATTGTTTGCATGCTTTCAATGGTGAGCTGCCTTCTTTGATGAGCTGTAATGAGCCATCACCTATCTTGATAAGTTGGAATTGCTTTATTACTCTCCCTCAAGATGGAGTGTGAGGGTTGATGACACTCATCTTGGATAATAGAGGAAACAATAGAGAAGCTCGTATAGCTTTTGTAAAGATATCAACTAATTGATGATGAGAACGAACTCGTAATAACTTGACAAAAACATCAGCCACCTTATCTCGAACAGAATGACAATCAATCTCTATGTGCTTAGTACGATCATGAAAGATAGGATTTGAAGCAATGTGAATTGCCGCTTGATTGTCACTAAATATTAATGCAGGGTCTTTGTTGAAAATCTGAAAATCATGAAGCAATTGGGTGAGCCAAACTAGTTTACTGGTAGTAGATGCTAATGCATGATATTTAGCTTCCGCTGAAGATCTGGATATTGTAGTTTGTTTCTTGGCTTTCCAAGAAACTAAAGAATCTCCAAGAAAAAACACAACAATCGATGACAGACTTCCTTGTATCAAGGCAAGATCCCCAATCCACATTTGAAAGTGCTCTTAACTGAAATGAAAATTGTGCAGAAAATAAAATTACTTGCTCTGGACTCGCCTTGATATATTACAAAAGATGATGAACTGCGTCTAAATGTGGCTGCCTCGATTGTGACACAAAGTTGGCATAATTTGTTAACAACATATATGATATCAGGTTTGGAGATATGAGGTAAAGGAGGCGACCAATTAATCTCATGTACATGGATGCATCAGTAATTAGTTCTCCTTCAAATGAACTGAGCTTTAGTTTAGGATCCATAGGTAATGCAGTTGGTTTACATTTCAAGAATCCAGTATCCTCAAGTAATTGCAGAGTATACTGTCGTTGAGACATGAAGATCCCTTTTTTGTGAACTTGCTATTTCAAGCCCAAGAAAATACTTTAACTTGCCAAGATCTTTCAGCTTAGACTGACTATGTAGGAAGCCTTTAAGTGAGCTGATTCATGCTAATTAGAACCGGTGATGAGGATGTCATCTACATAGATTAAGAGAGCAATAAATGTGCTACTAGAACCATTGATAAACAATAAATAGTCTGATTTTGATTGCTTAAAACTGTGATTAATAAGAGCATTGGAGAATTTTGAAAACTATTACATTGATGCTTGTTTAAGGCCATAAATTGACTTATGAAGTCTACAAATCAGATTCTCCCCCTGGATTTTATAACCAGCATATTCTCTATATCCCAAGGGGGCAAATCCATGTATATTTCTTTGAACAAATCTCCATTCAGAAAAGTGTTGTAAACATCAAGTTATGATATGCCAATTATTAATAGCAGCTATAGCTAGAAGAGCTTTGACTGTAACAAGTTTGGAAACAGGGGAAAATCTCTCATTGAAATCCAATCCCTCTTGCTGAGTATATTCCTTAGCCACCAAGCATGTTTTGTATCTTTCTATGCTGTGTTAGATTTATACTTTATTTTATAAATCCATCTGTAGCCTATAGAATGTTTCCCATCAGGCAGTTTCGTAATAGACCAGGTATTAGTCATTTCCATGGCATTTAATTCATTAGCCATAACATCCTTCCAATGATCATATTAACTGCTTGATGATAGTATTCAAGTTCGAAGTTTGATGATACATTTAGAAGATAATGATGGTGAGAATGAGAAAATGACTTGTAAGAGATGTATTTGGATAATGGATATGGTAAAGAATAATAGGACTGTTGAGTGTTAGTTAAGAGATTACAAAGGAAATCTCTAAGATACGAAGGAGGTCTATTGAATCGAGATGATCTTCTAGGAGCATTTGGTATGTAAGAATGATTAGTAGTGATGGGTGAATTGTGCTACAATTCATTTGTACCATTAACAGCTTCAATATTCACATCAGTGATTCTGGATTCTGAAGTATAAGCAAGTATATTGTAATTGGAATGAGGCATTTCTGAAATAGAATTAGGTAACACAAGATTAGGAAAATGATCAACAATATTAGAATGATGGGGGAATAGAGTGGAATAAAAATATCTGTTCATGGAAAACCACATCTCTGAAGATAAAAAAATCTTAGAGATGATATCATACATTTTATATCCATTTATTCTTGGAGGTTATCTTACAAAGACACAAGCTCTAGCTCTAAGAGTGAATTTTGTTTGACTGGATGTCAAAGTGGATGGAAAACACAGACTTCCAAACACTTTTGAGTTGACAGTAACCTACATGAGTGTTATACATGAGAGATAATGGACTTTTATTTTGTAAAATGGAGGATGGAGTTTTGTTAATGATAAGTATATTTTCTACACTTATTCGGGGTTTGAAACTCTAGAATTTTGTTGCCTTTTTGGCAAAATACGACTTAAATTATGTTATATTGCATTTTGCAGGTAAAACTCAATATTTGATGAAGAATTGGAGAAAAGAATGTAAAAATAGCTAAAAAATGGTAAAATCCAAAGTTCGAGGATCAAATTGCAAATACTCAAGAAGATACTTTGAAGATTGCAAGGAGACAATTGGATGAAATTAGAATTCAAAAAGAAATGGAACATGATCAAAGTATTATCAAAATCAATTTCCAATCGCTCAAGATATATTCCAGATTTTTAATCAAACATTGAGATCCTTTTTTGGCATAGTAAACGTTCGAATTGGAAAAACTCTATTTCAATCAAAGTTGTAGCCCTTTAAATTATCGTTCCAATGCACTTTAACTTGTATCAATCAGATATCAGAAGAGAAAGTTATAACTAAAATACAGACTGCTGTGCAGAGATAAAAAATCCGCGAGCGAAGGTAACTTTTCTTATTCGATTAGAACTCTTTTGTAAACCAATTTGGACGTAATTTTCAATCAATTTTCAGCTCCTATAAAGAGATAGCAGTAGAATACATATGAAGAAATTCCCTAGACCTAAAAAAATATATATTATACACATTTTGGAGGCGAAAAATATGGCTAACAACGTGGAATCAAGGCGAATTGCATAGGATATTGAAGATTCTTCATCCGGATTCAAGATTCACATAAAAAACGTGGATCTTTCCTACTTCTTCCATCTTTTTTATTTTCGGGTGATATTTTTCTAATTATTCTTGTGTAATTTCATTTTACATATGTTAGACTAGTTTTTCATTGTGTTGGATGAATATTTGAACCCTATTTTAATTTATTTTAATTCAAGATATCAATTTAGGATTTTTGTGTTATTATTTGATTGATTTTACATACTCATCACACTACTTATTGTTTTATCACCAATTAAGTAGTTAGTTGCTTGTTGTAGTGTAGGAATACTCACAATAAGTTTAGAACGCTGTAAAATCAACATGTGAAGTTAGAATTTGGAATAATATCTTTCACACATGCAATCTTATTGATAATCTAAACCAAATGCACGACTTTCATATGAATTCGGATTAGGAATATGATCGTCTCGTGTTAGTCATAGGTTGGTATATCTTGGGAAAGAACATTTAACATATTAGTTTTATCGATTGTCAAAAATGCATGAATTGAATAGAATGATTATTGAGAATTGAAATAGATAGAAATAAGGGGATACGTGAATCCAATACAAGCATTCACATAGATAAAATGCCATATTTATTTACTTTGCTAGAGTAGAATTAGAATAAATAACAAATAAATCACAATTATATTGATGTCATAATACTTTGAAATTAATAGTAGTTATTTAATTACAAATTAGACCTTATTCCTCGTGAGAACGATAATCTTAACTCATATATTTTATTACTTGTACAACGATCCCGTACGCTTGCAGGTTTCATGCGAACAAGTTTTTGACTCCGTTGCCGGGGAATAACGGATTTAATTTTAGTTTAGTAGTTTATATTAAATTCAATTTTTATTTTATTTATTTTTTATTATTGATTTTGACTACCCACTCTGATCTCTCTTATTTGATATTCTATATAGTTGCCATTCAACAATACAATTAAGATTTTGACGTTGGCATGGCAAAAATATTTTTGCAATAAATAATCTACACAAATGTGGAAGAAGATATATATTGTGATTTATGCTATGGGCTGCATTATACTGGCTACTGCGTAAAGACATGCACTGAATCACCTCCGGCTTAGCCTATATCGATTGGGACTATATGAATCTGTCACCAGCTCCAATTCAATCTCCGGTCTTCTATTCGCCATTTGGACAAGCTGACTTCTACATCCGACCATATATTATACACCTCTTTCAGAGTCAGGCCAACTGGCCATCTGATGAGGAAGCTCATAGGATAGTTGAAGGAATATACAATGTGGACTCAGTGACAGCATTGGGAGCACAAATTGAAGCACTAACATTGAAGCTTGACAAGTTAACTCATTCTATGCACATGGTACAACATCGAACTCCGATTTGTGCAGGTTTTGGGACAGATCACATCACTATAAGCTGCCCTTTTGCTTCCAGTCACATGGGTCAACCAGCATATGTCCGTTATGCGCAGAACTATCAGAGGCAAAATGGACCTTACCCATACAACTACCATTCTGGTTTGAACAAACATCCTAACTACGTATGGGCTGATAATTCAGATCAAGTAAATCAGATTCGGGGTGACCCACCAATGATTCAACA